CTCATCAAGCAATGCCTGCTCTATCACATTCTACCACACCAGGGCATTTTCCAATAGGAAACCTCCTTAGATATTTGCTGTCTTTGAGCTGCCAAGGATGCTCAGAACATAAGGCATATATGGATGAACTAAGGGTGGCATGGATGTACCAAGCGTGGCATGGATGTATTGAGAGCCTCATTTCACTTTTGATCACAACAGCCTGTAGTTGCAATGCCTCACTGAATGTCTTACCTTCCACAAGAGCACGGCCAGTAACAAAAAGATGAGGATGCCCACCAGCAAGCTGATGGCAATAATCCAGCCCACAACATAACCACGAGGCTCCAAATTGTGCAGCGCTTCAAAGACCACCTACAAGGCACAAACAGAGAACACTTTCACAATCAGATGCAGGAGCTTTCTTCTTGGTACATAATGTGCTGGAGCATAGCCATACGTTTGACATTTGGGGCAAAATGACAAGGAATGACTTTATAAAAATAAAATTCAAGACTTAAAGAGCACTCTAAAATAAGAAAAAAATTCTGGAAAGATTTATTAGTGTATAATCATAGCAATTGAGCATGATTAAATATCAATAACTGACATGAGAAGCAGCTTGGCACAGTGGCTAGAATGCCAGCCTTCAAGACTGAAAGACCCGGGTTCAGTTCCTCCTTCTGACATATACTAACTCTGCTCTAATGGGATAATTATTTAAACTCTCACAACCTCAGTTTCCCTAGATGTACAATGGGGATAAAATGAGATAATCTCTGTAAATTGCTTTGCAAACCTTGTAGTGTTACATAAACGTTCATTATTATTGCTATCATCATCTTTATTAGCCTCTCCATTGGCCCCAGACAATTCTCTAAGATGAGAACTCGCAGACAGGTGCTGGCTTACATTGGTAAAGGGAGTTTCCTCCTTATCCCAATAAAATCAGAGGTATAAACCAAAATCAAAGCACAAACAAAACCCCTCAGCCTCACCTCAAGAGATTTTTTTAAAAGATATTCTTGACCCAGACTCAACTCCACTCAACAAAATATCATCAAGCACCTACTGTGTGCTCAGCACTGTACTCAGTGCTAAGGATGACATGACAAACATGAAACGCTCCCTGCCCTCAAGGATCTTGCCATCATGATACAATGTATATGCTGACAAGAAAACGCAAATTAGATACAAAGAAATTGACAAGAAGAGGGGAGTACTTATCAGGACCGGAGAGCGTGTGTTCTTTACCTCCTTTTAAAAACATCTATTTGGGTTTTTTTCTTCCTTTTATTGTTGTGCTTCCTCCACCCCCTCCGACATCTAGCACAGTCTCTTGTGCATAGTAGGATATGTGGAAGGGATAGAGACTGGCCCTGTGATTCCATGGGTGGAGAGAACTCCAAAGTTAGACATTCCCTCCATCAATGCATGTGGGTACCTTCTCGGCACTGAAGTCTTAGAGTTGCCTGGAACATGGAGAGATGAAGTGACTAGTCCAGGGTCACACCTGCCTCAAAGGCAGAACTTGAACCCAGTCCTGGCTTAGAGGACAACTCTCTATCCACTGTGCCACCTTACTGCCTCTTAGTAGCACATAGTAGGTGCCTAAAAAACTTGGATTAAATTGGTCTGGTTAAGGAAAAAATGCAGAGTGACAGGCAACATGGGGAAAGTGCCATCAGATAAGCTGAGCCTTCAATCCTAGTTGCACGCAGAGCAGAGATCACGTCGACACGAGGCAGGCCCTTCTAAAGTAGACTCTACTGCTTGACCTTTGGCAGCTCTGTCCTCTCCTTCCCAAATCCTCCGTTGGCTCTCACACCCGCTGCACTGGCCCTGGTCTCCGCTGCTGGTTGGGGCTCTGCTTTGGAGAGCTCTGCTGGCTTAACGGCCATGCCAACGCAATTCCAACACGACTGGGTCTAGGGAACGATTGCCGCTATATCCTCGCTGCCCCAGTTACACAAAGAATCTCTGTAATGAAGCTAACTATTAATTAACAGCCAGCATTCAAGTTCTACACCAGCCTTGGGTGAGGAGGGATCCTGGGTTAGGCCTGGGAAGACAAACTCGAGTAGGTTTACCAAGTTCAAAAACCTTTCTGCACAGACTCAGCGGTGGACTGTAGGCCATTCCCCTAGGGACCAGGTTAAATTCAGAAAGGCTCGCCAAGCCAAAGCTAGCGATCGGTGACAGGTTCCTGCTTTGTCTTTGTGGCCTCAGTGCCAAGCACATAGTAGGTGCTCAATCAACACTCACTGATTGGCTGGTTGCTGATACCTTTTGAGGGGGAGCTTGGTATAGTGGATAGATGCTGGGGTTCAGATCCCATCTCGGATACCTACCGGTGGTATGATCCTGACTCCCAGGATCCTCATCTGTGAAGTAGGGATTCTACATTCACCTATTTCACAAGGTTATTTTCAGGGATCAAATGAGATAATGCATATGTATTTTTGTAAACCTTAAAGCACTATATAAATGCCAGATGTATTTATAATATGTTATTCAATATATTAGATGTAAATAATTAAAATGTTTAATAATTTACATACATATTTATATAATAGCATATAATATATAAATGAACAGTTTATATTATTATTTAGACTGTTTAAATAACAAATATATTTAAACCATACATACTTATAACATATAAACATATTTGTACTTACTATATCAGCATTTGAGTGTATTATATTTAATTTTGCAAGAGAGGGAATAAATATTTACATAGCACTTCTTCCTATGCCAGACACTGTAACTGGCACTTTACAAATATTTTCTCATTTGATCCTCACAACAACCCTTTGAGGAGGGTATTGTTAATATCCCCATTTTGCAGCTGAGGCAAACAAAGGTTAAGTGACTTGCCCAGGGTCACACAGCTAGGAAGTATCAGAGGCTGGATTTGAACTCAGGTCTTCTTGACTCCAGGCCCAGTGCTCTATCCATCGCACCACTCATCTGCCTATACAATTTGACACTCAATAACATCGTTCTTCAGCTCTCTTTCTCAACTTATCTTTGTCTTCCCTGAAAAATGCAAGGGAAAAAACATTGTATTTGGAATCAAAGTGCCTGAGTAGAAATCCTAGGATGGTTGCTTGGCACCAAGATAAACTTCTGACCTCCAGAGAAAAGGCTTTGATCTCTCTTCAGGTCCCAAAGGACTCTTGGCTGGGATAGATGGACTCCTTCCCAGACTCCTGAGGAAGCTGAGCTGTCCCTGCCCCACGGCCGTGATGGCAGCCAGCAGAGCCCCTTCTTCAGAGCTCAGGCACCGCCATAGTGGCCTAAGACACCTGCCCCAGTTCTTCCACTCACCCTGTCATGAAGCCACTCATATTTTGCACCTGGTTATTTTCAATAACAAACCTGGGCAGGGGCCCTGTTAGACTGTGCCTCGCTCTGAGTCTCCTCTCCCTGGCAACCTCTCCTCCCCTGTCTGGTTCCCCTTTCCACTGGCTACTCCAGAGCAGCCACACCTCCAAGAGGAGGAAAAGAAGGCTGTGGGCAGTGGACCGGACCAACGGAATCCTGAACCGCTTTCTCCAAAGAAGCAGCTTGACAGGGCCTCAGCCCAGCTTCTCTCCATAAGCTTTTCATTACTCAAGCCCAGCCAGCTGTTCTGCGTCCGCATTCGGAAGACTGACAGGTAATTATCTTGATGGGCTGACAACGGGGACTCCTGAGGAAGGCATGTCTTGGGAGATGGGGAACGATTTCCAGAGCCTCTCGCCTCAAGGCAGCTGTTTCCTATTAGGTCCAGATCACCATCCTCAACAGAGGTTCTGGGCTTAAGGGTAGACCAGCGCCACATGGCCCAGCTCTGAGAAGACCGTGGGCTCCATCTAATCCCACATTCTGAAGTATGTCTCAGGAGTACGGGATGAATTATGAGTCACTAGGGGAGACCAAAACAGGTCTTGAGTTCATTGGTTTTTTTTTTTTTTTTAAAACCTACATATCGTTGTGAAGGAAATCCACCACCCATCTGGTTGTGATGGGCCTGGTTTCCCTGGCTTCTTGCCTGGGTACCCATCAGAAGAGACAGCCACTGAAGCCGAGCTAGCCCTCAGATCCAGATGACCTTCATGTTGTGATCTAGTTTGCCTCGCTCCAGGCACATTTCCTCTGATTTCATTCTCTAACTTCATGCCAATACGCAGACATTCTATCTCCCTCTTTGTTCGCTGCAAGACCTTTGTGTCAGCAGAGACCTTTTGAAATGGAAAAGGTAATTGGAAACAGAAAATGGAATTCAGACTTCCAAGAATCATGGGGCACGAACCTCGGGAGGTCGATGGCCTAGTATTTACCCCACAGTCCTCAGGTAGAAGTGAAGTAACTTACAAAGCCCCAGAGCCTCAGAGTTGGAAGAGGTTTCAGCGGGCAAGTCACCTAACTCCTCTTCGTTTCAGTGTCCTCCTCTGGAAAGTTAGGGCATTGGCATAGATGACTTCCAAGATTTTTCCACTTCTGACTATTCTGATCTGGGCTTAGAGATTTCTCAAGAAGAGCGTGACTTTGGCTGGAGAGCTGGCCCACTACTAGACACAAAACAGATGAGGGTTTCTTCTGCTGCTCTTCGTCTACGCACTGGCATCAGAAGATACCTTCATTTGCTCATTTTGCCAGAATGAATGCTTAACCTCTCCCTTCCACCTTTTTTTTATTTAGTGCTCTATGCCTCACAGCCACACCTGAAAATTCTTCCTCCCTCATGCCTGGAGTGTACTTCCTCCCCAACTCTGTCACTTAGAATCTTTGGCTTCCTTCAAGACTGTGCCCATGTCCTATCTTCTGCAGGATACCATTCCTGGTCACACATATGAACACACCTACTGCTAATTCCTTCCACTGTAAGGTTACCTTTTATTTTTCTTGTATGTGCCTTGTATACTGATATATGTATGTGTTGTCTTGAATCTTAGAATGGAAGCTCCTTGAGGGAAGAGACTTTCATTTCTTAGTATTTCCAGGGCTTAGATAGTGCCTGGCATGCAGGTTAATAATTACATGTTGACCGATTTCAGTGATACTCTCCATCCTACTGGATGTAATAAGCTTTGTGAGTTTGGCACGCCCCACTCCTTCACAGGGGGAACACAATAAACCCATCCCCCCCCGGCTGATGATGGAAACATCCCAGCAAACCTCATCTTGGGAGAAGTCTCATCTTGGGAAAAGAGATAGAAGAAGGAACAGCAGCAAGAAATCTTCTGGGAAGAATGTATATAGACAGGTCCAAATGCTTACAGGTGAGAGAGGCAGTGTGGGAAATTGGAAAGAGCCCTGGGGCATAAATTGTCAGGCACGATTGATGTGCAGGTTAAGTTTACTGACCTGCTTTCTTTCCCTCTCTC